CCTAAGAATACATACTTGAATAGAATTTTATTTCATTTTTTTTTATTCAGAGCTTACAGTCACTTTAATAAATAAGCTCATGTGTGATAGTACAAGCCCTGACATGCATGATGTAAAGACTTATTTACCCACGCCTCTTTAGGCCACCCCCACTATTCACTATGGCACAGGGAACGCTTTCCCCAATGGCCCAGCTCCCTGTTACCATTATCTGGGTGGTATGCTGATGGTGTGGGTGCCCCAAATATCCTGTATCAGGAAGAGGAAGTCACATGTCCATCTCCCCTCTTCACAGCACGCTTCCCTTCTATCATTCCTCTCTTATTGCAGAACGTTACCCAAAAAAACCTGAAAAAAATAATGTTCTTTAGCCAGGAACATACATTCCACATTACTAACGATGCCACCAAAATTAGTGTGTGCTGTAAATTGCCTCCAGCATAGTTCCTGTTCCTTCTTGCTGGAGGCGGCCATTTTGCAGAAAGCCCAGAGCCCCTGAGCAGCAGTAATTCTTCACAGCACCCTTCCCTTCTATCATTCCTCTCTTAATGCAGAGCTTTACCCATAACATCCTGAAAAAAAATACTGTTCTTTAGCCAGGAACATACATTCCATATTAACAAATATTAATAATTATGCCTCCAAAATTAGTGTGTGCTGTAAGTTGCCTCCAGCATAGTTCCTGTTCCTTCTTGCTGGAGGCGGTCATTTTGCTGAAGCCCAAGGCCCTGACCAGCAGTTAATCTTTAGGCTATAAGTAGATTGGCCTCTACATTTTTGGCACAGTGTCGAAAAATAGAGAGCGACTGAGCATGTGCAAAGCAGGATTAGACAGTGTATTACTGGATTTTAAACAGTATAGGCACTTATTTTTAATGTTTTACATAGCTATACTTGCAAAAGGAACCAGCCTGATGTGATCTAGCAGGATATAAAGTAGAACTAAAGGCAAACTTTTTTTTAGTTTTTGATAGACTGGAAAGGGATTAGAACCCCTGTCAGTTTTCATTGCTGTCTGTGTCCCCGTTTGAGGGATTCACTTTCTATTTGTCCAGTTTACCATTATCATTAAAAGTGAAAGTAAAATAAAACCTCCAAATTTTGAGTTGTCCCCAGAAAAATGATAGAGTGTAAATCTTCCTCTGGGGACACTAGTTCTGGTGACCTGGGAGCAGGGGCGGACTTACAACTCATGGGGCCCCCGGGCAATAGGGGATCATGGGGCCCCTGTGTCCTTGCCCAAACTCAAAAAAAACTATGAAAAAGGTACCAGGGGCCCCCTACTGACCCTGGGCCCTCGGGCAGTGCCGAGTTTCCAAATGGTCAGTCTGCCCCTGCCTGAGAGTAGGGTTGTCACCTCATCCCTTTAAAACCGAACACATATTAATTACACAGGTTCTGTGGCTGATTAAGGTGGTGATTAAACTCACTTGGTGCCTTATCTGTGTTAAATTAGCCTCAGAACCTGTGTCATTAACCAGTTGCCGCCCGGCCTATAGCCAGATGGTGGCCAGGCGAATACCTTGTCCCTCCGGGTGGACGCCATATGGCGTCCATTCAGGCATGCGCAGTGTGCCTGCCTGCAGGGCTGCTCTGCGGCGCGATCTGTCTTCGGCCGTGTACATCAGACACGGCCAATGACAGATCTGTGACCAATCACAGCAAGTCACATGACAGTTGTATACAATGGATGGCTTCCTATCATGCCATCCATTGTATACACCTGTGTCTAGCTGTGAATGGTCACAGCGATCACATGCACAAGCTGGGCCAATCACAGCCCAGCTGTGTCATGTGATTAGCCGTGGCCAAATCACAGCTAAGCACAAAAAAAAACCCCTGAATGAATCAATGTCATTCAGGTAAATGCTTGCTTATAGCAAAGTAATTCTTTGCTATAAGCAAATTGTGTGTAAAAAAAAAAAAAATACTGATCACTTCCCCAAAGTATTACAATGTTACTATGGTAACTTTATACTACTTTGGTCATAGTGAAATATGACATGAAAAAATGTAATAAAACAATTTAACTAATAAAAAAATAAAAAACAAATTATCATTTTTTTTTTTTGTACTTTCACTTTTCAGTGTCCCTGATCACCGCCATGCCAGTTATATGATGACGCTGAACTGCACTGGTGACAATATGAAAATTTCTTCATTTTCGAAAAATTATAACAAAAAAATTACAACTTCAAAAAACTCGCCATGCCTCTTATAAAATACATCAGACTGTCTACTTTGCAAAAAGGGGTCATTTGGGGGATATCTGTACTGTTCTGACATTTTTGGGCCTCAAGAAATTCGATTGGCTGTCAGTACTTCAGGATTGATCAATTTTCAGATATACAGTCAGGTCCATAAATATTGGGACATTGACACAATTCTAACATTTTTGGCTCTATACACCAGCACAATGGATTTGAAATGAAACAAACAAGATGTGCTGTAACTGCAGACTGTCAGCTTTAATTTGAGGGTATTTACATCCAAATCAGGTGAACGGTGTAGGAATTACAACAGTTTGCATATGTGCCTCCCACTTGTTAAGGAACCAAAAGTAATGGGACAATTGGCTTCTCAGCTGTTCCATGGCCAGGTGTGTGTTATTTTTTTCCCTCATTATCCCAATTACAATGAGCAGATAAAAGGTCCAGAGTTAACTTCAAGTGTGCTATTTGCATTTGGAATCTGTTGCTGTCAACTCCCAAGATGAGATCCAAAGAGCTGTCACTATCAGTGAAGCAAGCCATCATTAGGCTGAAAAAACAAAACAAACCCATCAGAGAGATAGCAAAAACATTAGGAGTGGCCAAAACAACTGTTTGGAACATTCTTAAAAAGAAGGAACGCACCGGTAAGCTCAGCAACACCAAAAGACCCGGAAGACCACGAAAAACAACTGTGGTGGATGACCCAAGAATTCTTTCCCTGGTGAAGAAAACACCCTTCACAACAGTTGGCCATATCAAGAACACTCTCCAGGAGGTAGGTGTATGTGTGTCAAAGTCACCAATCAAGAGAAGACTTCACCAGAGTGAATACAGAGGGTTCACCACAAGATGTAAACCATTGGTGAGCCTCAAAAACAGGAAGGCCAGATTAGAGTTTGCCAAACGACATCTAAAAAAGCCTTCACAGTTCTGGAACAACACCCTATGGAGAGATGAGACCAAGATCAACTTGTACCAGAGTGATGGGAAGAGAAGAGTATGGAGAAGGAAAGGAACTGCTCATGATCCTAAGCATACCACCTCATCAGTGAAGCATGGTGGTGGTAGTGTCATGGCGTGGGCATGTATGGCTGCCAATAGAACTGGTTCTCTTGTATTTATTCATGATGTGACTGCTGACAAAAGCAGCAGGATGAATTCTGAAGTGTTTCGGGCAATATTATCTGCTCATATTCAGCCAAATGCTTCACAACTCATTGGACGCCGCTTCACAGTGCAGATGGACAATGACCCAAAGCATACTGCAAAAGCAACCAAAGAGTTTTATAAGGGAAAGAAGTGGAATGTTATGCAATGACCAAATCAATCACCTGACCTGAATCCGATTGAACATGCATTTCACTTGCTGAAGACAAAACTGAAGGGAAAATGCCCCAAGAACAAGCAGGAACTGAAGACAGTTGCAGTAGAGGCCTGGCAGAGCATCACCAGAGATGAAACCCAGTGTCTGGTGATGTCTATGCATTCCAGAATTCAGGCTGTAATTGACTGCAAAGGATTTGCAACCAAGTATTAAAAAGTGAAAGTTTGATTTATGATTATTATTCTGTCCCATTACTTTTGGTCCCTTAACAAGTGGGAGGCACATAGGCAAACTGTTGTAATTCCTACACCGTTCATCCTGATTTGGATGTAAATACCCTCAAATTAAAGCTGTAAGTCTGCAGGTAAAGCACATCTTGTTCGTTTCATTTCAAATCCATTGTGGTGGTGTATAGAGCCAAAAATGTTAGAATTGTGTCGATGTCCCAATATTTATGGACCTGACTGTATCCCATAGTTTGTGATCTCTATAACTTTCCTACAGATTAAATAATAAATACTGATTTGGGTTATTTTCACCAAAGACATGTAGCAGAATGCATTTTGGCCCAAATTTATGAAGAACAATTATTTATTTGCAAACTTTTATAACAGAAACAAAGAAAAACATGTTTTTTTTTCAACATTTTTGGTCTTTTTTTCTTAATTTAGCAAAAAATAAAAACCCCAGCGGTGATTAAATACCACCAAAAGAAAGCTCTAGTTGTGTGAAGAAAATGATAAATTTTTAGTTTGGGTACAATGTTGTATGACCGCGCAATTGTCATTCAAAGTGTGAGAGCGCTGAAACGTGAAAACTGGCCTGGGCAGGAAGGGGGTAAAAGTGCCCGGTATGGAAGTGGTTAATTTGCATAGATTTTTTCACTTCCTGTTTAGGCTATAGGACAGGAATTCAAGGGAAATTTCCCTCTTGGGTCACAGAAGGCAAAATAAAAACGGACAGGGGTTATAACCTTCCGTTACTCCATCCAAACTGAAAAAAAGTTTTACCTATAGTTCTACTTTTGTTTCCTAAAGTTCCATGTAAATGAACCAGAGATGAAATAAGGAGGAGCTGAGCAGTGGGCGGGCCTGTAGAGTCATGTGACTGACACAGCACCGACAACTCAGGGAAAAAATTATTTCCGGGCGTGAAATTAAAAATAAATGGTATTACGTCAATAGTATAAGTAAGTTATAGTAAAAAAAACAGCTTTTTGAGCAACATTTATTTCTAAAAACGGCGACTTTCAATCCCACAACAAACATGGCCGCCGTAGGATCACCGACTCTCCTGACGCCCGCTCCCCATTGGCTGCGCTCCTGACATCCCGGAAGTGGAGGCGTTGTGCTCTCTAGCCACGTGTTGGGGTGTCGGAGACAGCGGGGAGAAGCGGTGAGTGAGGTGAGGTTGCTCGGTGTCGGCTGTACGGAGCGGCGTGTGAACGAGTCCCGTCCATAGACATGGCTGTTCGGGCTTCCTTCGAGAACAACAATGAGATCGGCTGCTTCGCCAAGTTGACCAACACCTACTGCCTGGTGGCTATAGGAGGCTCGGAGAACTTCTACAGGTGAGACCTCACCCAGGGGGCAGCCGGCTACAGAAAGCTCCTCCCATGAATCACCTGGGGGGGGGGGTGACAACTCTGCTCAGATCTACATCCCACACGTGTCTCACTTGGACTATAGACTGTGCAGTGTAGGTGGGTTAGATCCCTTGTCAGCTTTTCATTGCCTGTCTGTGCCCCCATTAGGGAGATCCATCCTCTCTATTTGTCCTGTTTACCATTATCAGTGAAAGTACATCCCCAAATTTAGGGTTGTCACCGGAACAGGAAGAGAGGGGAAATCTTGTAATGGGGGCTGGTGACAACCATAGGAGAGATTTCCTCTCACTTCCTGTTTTGGCTATGAGACAGGAAGTGAAGGGAAATCTCCCCAATGGGATACAGATTGGGGGGGGGGAGGGACAAACAGGGGTTATAATACTCCCTTACTCTATCCAAAAGGGAAAAAAATATTTTTAGTTCTACTTTAGATGTCAGTTGTGCAGTGTGGAATGGTGGATCTATGAGGTACCTATACTGTACTGTTCTGTATGATCTATGGAAGTCTTACAGCTACAATCCAGACCGGTTAAAAAAAAAAAAAAAAAAAAAAAAAGTGTTCAACCAACTTCCCCCTCCCTGTTCCTGAATGGGGCTAACTCATCAGTTGTTAGGAAGCCTGGAGCACTTGCATCCTAGCAACCACAAGCTCAGTCCAGGAGGCACACATTCATAACAGCGTCTCAGCATCTTTGCCCTACTCTGAACACTGGTGTTTGTTGGCATTCCCAGGCACATTGCGCCCCCGCCCCCAGGCACACTGCTCCACCCCGGGCACTCTGTGCCCCTTCCCCGGCCGTACCCCAGGCACCTTTGTACATTCTGCACTCCGCAAGTTGGTCTTCATTACCACCCCCCCACTACTTTACAAAAAAATGTGTTTTAGCTGTGTCCTTGTTTACAAAAATGTGTTTTAGCTGTGTCCTTGTTGGACGGATGTGCTATTTTTTTTTTTTTTTTTTCCCCTGTTCTGACAAATACTGTTGAGGGGAAATTACCCACTAAATACAAACAGGCAATAATAAAAACCCAACAGAGACCATAACACCACCTGGTTATTCAGAAGGAATTCTTGGATTTGGGCTTTAGTGCTGGCCATGCCAGCTGTACATATGCACCATCCCTTCACTACCCCGCTGATTCCCCCCAAACCCCACCTTCTGAAATGCTGCAAGGAATTAAGAAAAGCGCAGTCTTTTGTAACCTTCAAGTCACAGTTTGGAGCTTACACAGGGCTGAGGACTCCCAATCCCATGTGATAGTACAGAGTGCCTGAGCTGCAGTTGCTCATGTCCAGTTTTGTCAGGTTTAACTAGTTGCCGACCGCAGGTAGCCGAATGACGGCTGCATTGCGGTCGGTCCCCAGTTCTGGGTGGACACCATATGATGTCCTCTCAGTACGAGCTCTCCTGCGTGTCCTCGGCGATCTCCGTGATCGCTGTGTCCTACGTACACAGCTGATCACATGATGTGGTAAAAGGCCAATCACAGCGGCTTTTTATCACGTGGTCAGCCGTGTCCAATGACACGCTGTTCACAGGGAAATGCAATTGCCGGTTCTCGGCTGCACTTTCCTCACGCTGTCAGAGCATGAGGAAAGTACGGCCGAAAACCAGCAGTTGTCAGAGCAGGTATTGGCACGATCATCACGGCACTGATGATCGGTACCCATCAGTGCCACCCACCTGTGCCCATCAGTGCAGCCCAGCAGTTGTGCCAGTCAGTGCTGCCTATTAGTGCCGCCTATCAGTGCTGCCTCATCAACGCACATCAATGAAGGAGAAAAATTACCTGTTTGCAAAATTTTATAATAGAAACAAAGAAACGTTTTTTTTTCAAACTTTTTTGTCTATAGCGCAAAAAGTAAACAACCCCAGTGGCGATTAAATACCAGCTCTATTTATGAGAAAACAAATTATAAAAATTTAATATTGGTACAATGTTGCATGACCGCACAATTGTCATTCAAAGTGCAACAGCTCTGAAAGCTGAAAATTGGCCTGGTAAGGAAGGGGGTATAAGTGGCCAATAGGCAAGTGTTTAAGTGAGTTGTATGCTCTCCTGAGTACTAGTCACTCCTGGTGCATGATGGGATCAACAGAGAAGTTTGGCTGTGTTAGTTTTCTTTTTTTAGGATTTTTTACTTTATTTTCTGATCTAGCCAGTAAGTTCTTTTTCAACAGAACAACCTCTCCTGCATATCTAGCAGTTCAAGTGTGAAGAAAATCATTTACCACTGACAGGGGAGCTTACAATGATCAGCTTTTATTCATATAACACCTTTATCCCAAAAGCAAAAAAAAAAACATTTGCTGTAATTGCAGTTTGAGCTGAGGTTCGGCTTCAATGTGTTAGTGTATCTAAATCTTCTAGTCCATCTTACACTCCCCTCTCCCTAGATTGACAATGCTGCTGTCTGAAAGTGCCTCCTGTGCTCCTACATCCAGAGTAGAGGCGCTCTAATACAGGAGGTGTGTTACTGGCCAGTTCACCAGGTAAAAAACTTAACAAAGAAGACTAATGCAGCCACCACATTTAGTAATTGGTAAGCTGCAATATATTCCATTTTTGGTTAGGGGTTTGATACTACTTTAGGTATGTTTGGCATCTGTATGTCAGACTGTTTCATCCCGCACAAATTTGAGCTGGTTTGACATATTTTTTGGTAAGTTTACCTGTGACACTTTGCCAATAGCAGAATCAGTCATTTTAATTTCATGTTATGACAAGTGGAAGTTGCATCACCAAACATTGCTGAAGCGCAATTATAGGTGAGGGAGTGGTTAGCGAGTGATTCATTGCTGGTTCCAGCAGTGATGGGGTCATTTCATAGAGAAGCTGCATGTTAGGCTGCCATTCACAGGTGAAGATTCACTAAAGACAGAACTGTCAATATGACATGATCAGGGTGGATTTGATTTAAATCAAACTGATTTAAATCACAATTTAAATCACTAGTCAGTAAGGCTTGATTTAAATCCTAGTTTTCTACATAGACTAATTCTTGCTGGTATAACTTTAATATGCAAGTAGATGAAGATTTTTAGAATAACAACTTTTCATATTAGTTTTTTTATCCGCAGGTTAATAGGTTAATCATTCATATTTGGACAACTTTTCTGTCGTACTTAGGAAGGAGAAAAATAATCATTACCTTAATAATAACAATTTAAATAGATTTATTCAGCTGAAACAATAACATTACAGCATATGTTATTTGCTTATACAAACATCCATGTTTGTTAACTAATTTGGCTAAACAAAATAATATATATTTTAAGAAACTTAGACTGTCAGCCCCTTCCTCCTCACACTTAGTTTCACTTTCTTCTTGTGCAGATCTATTCCACTCCAAACAATCAGAAAAATATTGTTTCTATTCTATTCACTGAACTTCTTGAAACTTAGCACTGAAGGGGTTGATTCTGTATTCATAGGTTTGTAGAAGTTAGGATGAAGGTCTTTTTCTTAACTCTGTTCATGTTATAACATTTTTGCTGTGAAGAAGAGGCATGTGATCTCCGCTGAGTCAAATTCAGTTATGAGAACTGCAAAAGTAAACCAAGCATCTGTGATAATATCTTGTAGGCAGAGAAACTGCCCAATAATCTTACAAAAACCTCTGGAAGAGCATGACATTGTGAATGGATTAATGGAATTTATTTACCAAAAAAATTTAAACATATACAGCCTTATTCTACATAATTAAAAAAACTAATCTTTATTTCACGATGGAATAACCTTTGGATGGTAATATATTTTCCTCAAAAAGCATTTTATTTAAAAAAATCAGATTTAAATAAAAAAAATCAGATTTAAAAAAAAAAAAATCATTGATTTTTATCCACCCTGGACATGATCCTTAAAGTGGAAAGGCTGAAGGTTTTTTTTACCTTTGTGCATTCTATGCATGAACGTAAAAATCCTTCAGTGTGCTGCGGGCCCTCCAGCCCCCTAATAACAACCTGAGTCACTCTTGATCCAGCACTGTACACAAGAGCAGTGGCTCTCTTGGGTCTCTCTCTCTAATTGGCTGAGACACAACAGCGGGAGGGGAGCCATTGGCAAGCACAGCCATTGAGGAGGGAGTGGGGGGTGGTTCTGAGCCGCGCTTTTTGTGTCCTATAAAATACACAAAAAACAGCTTAGGAGCGAGCGCACACACTACAGCGGGGGGAGGAGCCAGGAGCATCTGTGAGGGACCCAAGAAGAGGGGGGTTGGGGGTACTCTGTGCAAAACCATTACAGAGAACAAGTTAGTATGACATGTTTGTTAATTTTATAACATAAAAGTGAACCTTAGTATCTCTAACTATACCCTGCCACCACAACATTCATTTCAACAACACATTTCCCATAGGATTCTATGTGCATATATTGTATTTTTACATTCAGTCTTTTTATTATATAATGCAGAGATAAAATGTAGCAAGTCCTTCTAATGTAGCACACAAAAAAAATACACTTTAGGTACAAAAAAAAAACAGAGGCTACTTGGCGATATCTCAGGATCATATAGTCCATGTAAAATCACATGAAAGTGGAGTCCCACTCACTTTAAGTGTCATCAATCCTAAGAGTCAATGGGCTGCCTTTGCTTCTAGCATTGCGGTTTTTCCAAACCAGAAATGATGCGATACCAGGCGGAGATGAGTGCGCTCCGCTTTGTACACACTGCGCATGCGTGAGAATGGGAGGTGCATGCTGGGTAGCCAGTGGCACTGTATCCCGGAGGAGCAATGAATTAGCTTCAGATAGCCACACTGAAGATGGGAGCGTGCTTGCTAAGGAGTGCACAGTGAGTTTTTTAACCACTTGTCCTCCTGAGGATTTATCCCCTTCCTGACCAGGCCATTTTTTGTGTTGCGTCGCTATGTTAATTTAACATTATAAATGTACAAGCGAGCGCTAATATATATGAATCATGAACAGAGCAGCTAGCAAAAGGAAAAAAACCTCTAAAT